TGAAATGATTAATTATGAATGACAAAATGAAACGCATTTCTTTTCTGAAAATATCATGGAGTTCCACCATCGACGAATACGCTCTTACAAATGATAAGGAAAAATCATAGATATTTCAGATAACCTTTTAGTGAAGATAGCTGTGAAATAAATCACTTGTAGGCAAACGCCCGTACTTACATGAAAAGAGAGAAACATAGTCAGAAAAAAGAGAAAGAAAGAATTAAAAAAGAGGAAGTGAAACAAGAAAAGGAAATACACAAACAAAAAACGAACGGGTCCGTGCTGCCCCCCCTCCTTTCCTCCCGCCGCGTCACACCTGAGCCGAACAGAAAACCGCATTTCAAATCACTTCTCTCATTTCATTTTTTGCGTAACAGGGAAAATAAAATCAACATCGGGGTGTGCAAGATGGTTGTTAAAAAACTTGGGCTGTAACAGTAGGAATTATTCAAGTTCCTTTTTTTTTTTTTTTTTTTTTTTTTCTTCGTGTGTGTGTGTGTGTTTGTTTTAGCTCGAAATGTCGGGGTGAAAGATAGTGATGGTATAAGCCTGTCCCTTGTTGATGCGATTTTGTTCTTAAGACTCGATATCCGAAAGAATAGACAGGAAGTATACAAGGTAGTAAAGAAAGTAAAGAGAAATAAAATTTAAGGAAGGTGGATAAACGTCGATGTAGGCCTTGAAAAAAGAAGAAGAAGAAGAAGGAAGAAGAAAGAAAGAAAAAGAAGAAAAGGCGCGCTACCGAGTGTCATCGTCAGGCCTCCAAAAGCCCGTTTTATGCCGAAATGATTGAGGGTTTTGATTCTGGAGCCCTGGTCTCCCCTCTTCTCCTCCTCTCCTCCTCTTCTTCCTCCCTCCCCTTTCTCCTCTTCTCTTACCCACTTACTGCCACTGTTCTCCGTTCCAACAACCCCCTCTCCCTCTCTCCCTACCTCCCTCCCCCCTCCCTCTTGTCACCCTCTCCTTTCCTCTCTCTCCTACCTTCTCAGCCCCTGGTGTCTCCCTACTTTCCCCTCCCTCACAGTCACCCTCTCGTCTCTCTCCCCGCTCCTCCCTCCCTCTCCACCCCCTTCTCTCCACCTCCACCCCTCACCCTCCTTCCCTCCTCTACGCCTCACCCCCTTCCTACCTCTCCTGTGTGGCGAGTTTGTACAAATGCCAAAGCCAAGAGATTTTCATTAAAACTTTAATAGTGGTTGCTGTACGTGCGTCGGGGTGTGGCGGATGAGCTGAAGGCAAAAGACTTGGGATCTGTTGAGAGAAGTCGTCAAGATGCATCTCTTGGCGTTCTCGTTCTTATTCTTGTTCTTATTCCCTCTCCTGCTCGGCTCGTACTCTTTCCTTCTCCGTCTCTCGCTCCATCTCTCTCTCTCTCTCCTCGAATCTCTCTCTCCCTCTCCTCTCTCTCCTTCTCTCCTTTCCTCTCTCTCTTCTTCCCTGCCTCATCTCTTTTCTGTCTCTCTCTCTCTCTTTCTTTCTAATCCTTCCCCCCTCTCTCTCTCATCATCCAAGTTCCGTCATAAATCAAGTTTCCGTTTGTCGCTCTCTCACTGTCGGACCTAATCAGAAATATTTTACCGACTCGGATATTGATCTTGCACAATGGGGCTGTTTGATAGCTCAGCAGGACGCGCCTCCAATACCCTGAGCTAACACTCTCTCCCGTGTTTATTGCTGTGGGGTTGGGGAGAGGGAGGTTGGGGAGGGAGTTAGGAGAAAGGGGGGGATGGAAAGGTAGGCGCGCCGGAGAGATGGAGGGGGAGGGCGGGGAAGGGAAATGAAGCGAGGATGTAGGGAAAAGTGGCGGAAATGGGGAGGATGAGAAAGAGGGATGTAGGGGAGAAAACAGATGAGAAGAGAGAACGAGAGGAGAGGGGAGAGAGAGGAAGAGGGGGAGAGGGGGAGAGGGGAGGGAGGGGGAGGGGAAGAGGGGGAGGGGGAAGAGGAGAGCAGAGAGGGAGAGAGTGAAAGAGAGAGAGAATGAGAGAGAGAGAGAGAGAGAGAGAGAGAGAGAGAGAGAGAGAGAGAGAGAGAGAGAGAGAGAGAGAATGAATGAATGAAGATAAGAGAAGATTGTTCAGATGTGAGAGATAAAAAAAAAAATAAACCCTATAATTAAACCAGTAGTTAGTAAAAACAAACATAAAAAACAAGAAACGGTAATAAAACGAGAGAAAAGAGAGAAGAAATGAACACTATCTACTGAAAATCAAAATTCTCAAAAAGCCAAGAAAAATAACAAAAAAACAATGATCATGGAAATCCACAGAAAAATTGGAAAGAAATCAGTAATTAAAATATTTGATAATAGAAAATAATGAAAATAGAGATAATGTCCGTAAAGGCAATAATGAGGCTGACAGTGATAGAGGCATAACAGTAAAAGGATTGTACTATAAATGGTAATACTGTATTTTGAATCCACATCCTGTAACAATCTGAGTAATACAAAATACCAAATAAGCATATTGATCTTTTCCCTTGCAAACAGCTTCAA